TTTTTTATACCTAAATTTTCCATGGTTTTTAACAACCACGATCATATAGCCACAAACTTCAACAACAAATATATTTCATAGTTTCCTTTTTTTTGTATAACATCTCAGTAGCTATCAAATAAAATTTGAACGGACTCGGACATGGAAACCAAATGATATGATGATTAAGTGGGCGAAAAAAGTTGGTATAGGCTAAAATTTTTTAGGTAGGGTCTCAAACCTAAAAAATTTGGATTTCCTAATAAAAATGTAGCCCCGACGGATGTCCAGAAAAATGTTCGGTTTTTTCGTGGAACCTCTCTTAAACTTCGAAATGAATTGAATATTATCTAATCAGCTTTATAGGTTGCTTATTTTGATCCAGCATGTTATTGATCAAATAGATATGATCATGTGTATACCTTCAAGTATACAACATATTACCTGAATATATCATAGTTTAATTTTATTGAATTTTGTTCTTTTTCTGAATAGAATTTTTATGTTAAAAGTAAAAATAAATTCATGTAAACTTTATTTCATTGGATTGATTCAATAATGATAATAATAATACTAAAGCTCATCTAAATGTCAATATGTCAAAAGAGAAAAAACCCAAGAAAAGACTAGATACTTTAAACTAAACGAATGAAAATTCTTTTTAATAAGAAATATCTATTGCTTTATTATATCACTTTAAAATTTCGAGAAATCTAAATAGAAGTTTTATTTGACTTATGTTAAATCAATTACATTCCAAAAAAAAAAGAAATAAAGTTATTTTAATGTTTCAGCAAGTTTTGTCAGATATTCAATTTCTTTTGGTGAACCAGTAAAACGTTTAAATAGTAAACCTTTACTCAAATAATTAGCTATTGCTGGTCGTTCTTTCATTACATGTTCAAGTTTTATTAATGCTTGACAATCTTCTTTATTTGGTAATAATTTCTTGCAATAATCATGTGCCATTGTAAATGCTTCAAAAACAAAATAATCAGCAATTGTTGGTTCTGTTTGATCATAATAAAATGATGTTGAACTTTTTTCAAGTAAATTATTTAAAGCTTTAAGATCATTTGGAATCTTTCTGCTAAAACGATTCGATGGATTAGTTTCATCAACAAAATTAATCATACTCCATATACATGTTATAACATTTGATATAATATCTGTATATGCACATGAAACAACACCATCAATATAAGTTTCAAGAAAATCTTTATCATCAATATTTGATGTTAATTTACCATATAAATCAAATTTTTTTGCTAATAATTGTCCTTGAATAAATAATGAGAAAGAAAATGTTTAATTTATACCTTTATGTTTAGTTAAACAAACCTATTGTTAATGATTGACTAAAAGTATGTGTATCATTCCAATGAAGAACCGGTAAAGTTCGAAATGGACCGGATATTGTTTGATCAACTTTTCTCTTAGCCCATGTATTCATCATTGTATCGATTAATTCAAAACTTTCTTTATAATCAACATTTTTATGTTCGTATGCAATATCTTCAAGCATATAACGAACTGCTTGAACACGTCCACGAATATTCCAATAATGAAGTCGCAGTTTGATATTATTTGATACTATGCTTGCAGTCATGATTTCAAAGTAAAAACTAAAAGTGAATAGATGTACATATCGTATAGAAAAAGAAATCTGGTTAGACACATGAAGTTATATTGTTTACCATAGATGTAAGTCACTAATCATATTTTTTGTCGTCATAACCAATCAATGAATTCTTTTCTATTTCATGCTATACTTCATCGGTATTTTTTCACTCTTGATACAGTCGCCCTCTGTTTTACTCTTTCCATATTATAAAACTTGCTAAAAATTTTACAATTCATCACGATAGGATATTAGCAAATTACTCGTGTACTCATTCTGAATTTCGTTTAATTTGAACATAATATATTAAATAAATCATTTGTAAATTCAAACTCATTAATTCCGAAAGCCGTTAATCAAACTTTATAGAAAATTATTACTCTCATCAAATAAGCTTCATTTTGACAAATCAATCAAACTAATATAAATATAATCATAAAAATCTACACATACTTGTTACTTAACAAGTACACTTTGGACTGATATGTAAGAGAGCAGGTATAGCTGAATTCAAAATATTAGGTCATTTGATTTTACTTATGAAAAACGAGCGCTGAAGCATCTATAACTGGTCTATTGGAATCCTTCCAAAATGGTTATTTTGACGTTATACCAAGAACGATTTAATTGTTTGGGCTTGAAGATATAGTAAAACCTGCAGGTTAAAAACCGTCCAAAATTCAAAAAATGTATTGCACAAAGCTGGTAATATTTTAGACTTTACACACATGCTGCATGATATTCTATGATGAGTCTTTTACCAGACTAGATCTCATCAAGTATAGACCACACTGTGATATATCCTGCTTAATGTTCACTAGCTGTACCTCAAAAAATCATACAAAAGACATACTATTTCCTTTCAAATCAAAAAAATTAATGTCAGATTCATATTCAAGACACAAAACTGGGTCAAATAAGTTACTTTAAATTGATTCTCTACTTGTATTTGGTGAGATCAAAATTATGAATACTCTTGATAGATATTAAATGTAGGATGTGGGTGTGGATGTGTGACCGTAGATGTAGGTGTGAGTGTAGGTGTATGGGTAGATCTCTTGAGACTGCAACAATATCCAGATTCACATCCACAACTTACACACCTGCACATCCAGTCATACTCGCACCCACACTCTACGAACTGATTCATACAGAGAAATAGGTTTATCTACGCTGATTCTTCTCTTTCAGAAAAATTTATTGTAATCATTTTACTTAGTAATCATGTTTGCATAATGAGGACTTCTGTTAAAAAAAAACAATTGCTCGTGGTTTTCTCTTAACTATTTAGTTATCATTCGTTAACTGTGAAATGTTTTCTAAAGGGATATTTTTTGCGTCTTACAAATGGATCATTAGTATGGTTTGTACTTGAGGAAAAAAATCGATCAAAACATTTTTGCTTTTTCGTAGACAATAATATAATAGAATGCGCACGCATCTGATTGTTAAAAATGTCATAAATCAATCCTTTTTTTCTTTTCGAGGTCGTTTGCAACATTTCATAAATACGCAAAACATGATTGTCATAGGTAAAATCATATAAATAAAGATTATATCCAACAGAAATCGTTGATAGAACGGTAATGTACTCGGAAATGGTACATATCGATCTAAATCACCATTGGACCTAACGAAAAATTCAATTTCTTCCACCGCTCGTTTTACACCACCTGCATGTTTTATTTCAAGTGACATGATCCGAGCGGCTTTCTCATAAGTACTATTTCTCCACATTGTTAATAATTTGATTGTGACACTACTCGCTGTAAAAGTATAATAATGAAAACTATTCGGTCTTAGTAATAATTTCCATGGAGATGGTGGAACAAACAATGATTGTCCAACTCCCAATTGATCGATCATGAAGGCATTTGGAAATTGATCGTTGCATAAAGGTAAACATAATATTAGTTTTTGAAAGTACAATCCTTCTGTAACTGAGCCCATACCACAATGACTAATGAATAGACTAACTCTATGTTGTCGTAATATCCATTTTTGATCAAGAAATTGATTTTCAACTTTAACCCGTTGTTCATCTAAGAAAATACGTTTATATTCAACATTTACCATTTCATCAAGTATTGTACGATAAGAATCATAATTAAAATTACGAAATGCTAATAAAACAGAAGCAGTAGTTGTTTGAAATAGAAATTCACCTAGACCATAGATCAAACTTTTCATTCGATCAAATCTTATTAAAGCACTACTACCAAAAGCTACATAAATAATAGAATTATTCGACTTTGATTTAATCCATCTTGTAAGTTCATTATCAATGTCACTAATAGATGATTCATCTACAAATGCGCCCATATATCTTGTATACGGAGACGAATCGGAGGGTGGATAGAGTGTTGGTGGAACATTGATTATATTCAGACATTTTGATTTTGTCAAAAAAATATTTTTGAATGTAAAAGTGTTGAAAAATGGTCCAGGTACTTGCGGAAATGATTTTGACAATAGGTTAATGACTGGAATTATTTTTTTTCCAACAGATAATAACAAACGCACAGCAAAAGCAACATTATAGATACGATATTTTAATTCTGACATTTGCTTTGATGTTAGATATGAGTGACTGTTAGGCTGATTGATATTAGTCATACTCGACATTACTGTTGGAGTAAGTGTTACACAACTGATATTTGCTTCCTTACATAATGCATTTATACCAAAAATGAATCGATTTGCAATGATCACATCAAATCGTTCCATCATTAACGTATGTACAATCTTGTTCAATAGTAAATTCATACTTTGAATCATTCTTGGCATAAAATGAATTAGACTATCCAAGAGAGAATGATTAAAAAAATATTCAGACATTTCTCTTGCCATTTTCTTTTGATCAACTAATGCCTCAATTGAATCATTTGTATAAATCAGACGAAATGAAGATAGATTGGGATATGTTTTAAAATCAATATAAGTTTCAGCCAATCGATCGGTAAGAAATGTAATATTATGATCGTGCATTCCTTTTGCCAATTCAAACATGGGAATAACATGACCAGCTACACCATTAGTAATTATCAATGCATTGAAACCAAACGATTGAGGAACGAATGCTAACAGACAAAGAAATATTACACCATTGACTTTCATGATATTTGTGCGAAAATTAACGTTGTAGAAGTGAAGTCACAAAAATGTGCGTTTCGTTTTTCGAAGATGTCGTTCCTTTTGCTTTCTTATCTTGTGCAAACATCATAATTCACAAGTACAACTCGTGGATAGAAGAAAACATAATATCAATATGAAATACGAGATACTCGTTTTTAGTTAAGACAAGCAATAAAGCATTGTAGGTATCCTATGTTCTCATTTCATGAGATCACACAAGTGCCGCGTTGTTCTTAAATGAGACAGAAATGCGATCCATGAACATGCTAACATCTTGTATTCTGTTTGATATGTCTATTTAGTATTGTAACCATCAATATGATTGTTGAACTTCTTCTAAGCACACACTGGAAACTGTATATTCCTTCTGTGCATCTTCTTGATTGTATCTTAAAACTCTAAATTAACGTGAATATGCGACGAATTTTCACAACTTTTAATAAGAAGCTCTTTTCTATTGGAATCCATTGTATCACTAACTCTGGTTAGCCACAAATTCTCTTAGCACTAGCTTATATGAACAAGTCGATAGCTAAGTGTATACTATCATGTTCGTCAACAAAATAGAAATTTTTCGATTCAATCAGCTCGGTTGTCTCGCTCGAATTTGAAAATTATATTAAAATATGAATACTGCTCAAAGTTGTTATATCATAAGTATTGATGCATCAAAATTTCTAATACAACAAATAAGACGTCCATCGGAGCTATTTGAATTCTATCTATGAATATCTCAAAGAATCACATGTTTCTAAATAAATAAAAACATCAGATTCTGTTGATAAACTGGCAAACAACTGCAAAACTTCATTTTTTATGTACTGCTAGCATTATTTGTAGATGATGTTGGCAGTGAGTTTGACTGATATTGTATCCCAAGTGAATGTACTGAGAAAGCCTCAGCAAGGCACTCGATATGGATACTCCGAAAAATCTCAGTAATTATACTGATGAGTATGTTTACTGAACAAATACCTGTATGGGTATCCACACCTGTTATTTTACTGAGGAAAGCTCTACAGGGTATCCTAGATTTGTTGCGTTCTGTCTAGCAACTATTCATTCACCGCTTTCTTTTGCACATACGGTTTCACATAAACAACCCGACAAAACATAAGAAATTAATATTTTTTTCATACAAATTTTTTCTAGATTATTTCTCAACTATTTACTAGTCGGGAACATGCCGATTTCAATCGTAAATTGAGAGAGGACTATCTTGAAGTGATCTGTTAGAGATCCGACCAACCGAGGTTCGGTCAGATTCCGAAATTTCACCTGCTTGAGTTCTCAAAATTAGAAAAATTAAATTAAATAAAATCGAAAAAAAGCAATGTAATAAATTGCTTTGAGAGAAACAAAAATGAAAAAACCCCACACCCGCCATTTTTAGAGTCACTGTGCTGTTCATACGATCCTAGCACTACAGTGCGCACATTTGGATGGAGAACTTTCTAATCAAACAAATCTCGATGATCGTCATAAAATCGATGACTAAGTAATGTTTCGTTGGATTCGCTGTGAACAGCAGCCTAATGAGTACTCCAAAATGTCTACCGGCATCGAGTATGCTGTCATCTCCATGTGTAAGACATGTCGATAACCCTGAAAGTTGAACAGCGGCTGCCGGTGTTCGATAATAGAGGAATGGCATAGGTCGAGCTTATCCTCCGTAAGATAACCATAAAATTTATTCAAATCAGTCTGACAACGACAAAATTCTTCGAGCGAACCACGCACAACATTGTCAATGTCGAGACAGTATCCTGTCGATGACAAGTATCTATATTTACGCCATCGATGTATTATTGGTCCATTGATCCGTTTGCAGATTGGATTTTCTTCCAGATTTTTTGCCGTGAGTTAGACTGTCGATATGTTCAGTACTGGTCTCCTGCACATCGCCTGCTACTAGATCAACAAGAGATCCTTTAATACGATCAAGAACCGTGTGATGAGTTCTGTGTGAAGGAGCTGGAAAATGGAACATAATAAGATGGCAATAAGTTCACAATGGAGAAAGAATACAGATTGATTCGAAGCAGTTGAAGTACGCTGTATAATAAAGAGAAGCAAGCTGATACTTTAGTTACAAGTAATACTTCAGCTTGTGTGATCACTTTTCTTCGGCAATACTAATAATTTAGATTTATATTGATATGCTAATTGATTATCTCCAAGGCAAAGAGGTCACATAGATTGGAACCCATTTGGAGCTTTCACTGTTGAGCGTAAAAATAACTATTCTATTCTCTGTAGTACAGAATCTACCTTTGAATTCTCATCGATTATGGGAGTGTTCTATTACAAAGAAACTAGAGTACACTGTTCATTTAGAATTAGTTCCGTTTCGATTATTTTTGCGATAATGCGTAAATTTGTAATATTAATCTAGGACACAATCGTGTCTCCCTTTTTGACTGCGAATAAATCGATTTTGACGTGAACGATCGGTTGACAGTTTGAAATGATTGTAGATCTGCTCAGAGAAAAAAAGTTATTATTGATGTCGACTAGGGTGATTAGAAAAGTCAGTGAACGAAACTCGATTTGATCGGTAATTGGATAGCGTTTCTTTCTTGAGATGAATCTCATCTGAACATCAATGTACAATAGAACACAAGAAAAGCAATGATGCCAAAGAATATCGAATCAGCTAAGATCAAGATTCGATCAACCACTGCACAGTCAAATATTAGATGAAAATCTCCAAATCAATCATTTTACCTATTTCTTTTGGTCACTTTTTTTAAATAAATAATGTCGATTCAATGCAATTGTAAAGAGTCCGTGAAGAGAAAAGAAAGTCAAAACCATTTCAATCCACTTCTAGTGGCTCATGAAAAAATGATGTTATTATTTGCAAATCGCTATTATATGGAAGACAGCAAGCTTTCATCCAAACATGTTCTCCCAGCGATAGAAAGAAATTCGACCATCCAAAATTCACATACACTTTATTCTTACCAAACAACAAGACTTGCTGCTCATTGATGTTATTTTTTTATACCATTGGCAGAGCTGCTTACGGAAGAATGAGAGAGAACTTATCGAAACAAGAAAAATATCCACTCAAGCAAAGAAGCCACCGAATCACTGCATCCTTAATTGAGTAAAATGCAGAGAATACGTGCTGTTTCTCCTAGCATACTTTGGAATGCTACGAACAAATCATCCACATTCACACTTGTCAATTTCGTTATATCGTCTTCAGCACTTTTTGCATGGTATCTAACCTAAAAGAATCAAGTCGAATATTTTTAAAATTGAGCACGAATGCAGATCGACTCTTTATTCACTGTCCACATAAAAATTCATGTAAATTTAAGGACTTAACGAAAAAAAACCATTCAAAAAAAACATTTTAATGAAGTCTCATGCGTTCTTTGATGCTGATTGTTCTATAACAGCGATTTTCGTGGCTAAATAGATAACATCTGCTTTCGCGAAATCGTTAAATTTATATTGGATGTGCTGACAATGACACTTGAGATTTTTCATGGCTCGATAGCGAATTTTCTTTACAATTGACCTTGTTCGTTTGCGATGAATCTTTCTCTGCGTTTCGCATCATTATGATACCATCAAGTGCGATGCGCGATGAGAATAAAGATACGGCGCTTTGAATGTGGTGTTGGATTTCTCTACGTAGAGAACGAAAGAACGATTGAGAGAAAGAATATTGTGATCATCTTACAAACTGCGCAAACAGATGCATTCGTGATAATAGTAAAATGATATAAGTTATTTTTTTTACTACAACACTAACATTGATGATGGTTCCAACAGATAAGCCGGTAAGACTCTTTACTTTCACATTCACGAACACATTAAAAGATACTCAATGAGGACTAACAAAGACCTCGAAAATGTTTACTTTACCTAATGATTGTCAGTGAACAGAAAGATTTTAATAGTCAGCCAAAAGAACACAAAATTTAGGTCTCACGCTGATAATATACTTCACATTTCTATTTCTTAGCGGAATTTTCTTTTTTTGCTTACAATGAAATTATTTGTCATATCAATTAATAAGAATAACCATGTTCGACTCAAATTATTACTTCGAATGCAAAACTAACAAATTTTAAATATGAGATATTGATAGCAAACCTGAACCGGGTTATTCAAATTTTAAGGTATTGATAATTTACGTAACCACGAATAATAGAACTTTCCAAATTCATTTTTTTGTACAATTAACTATTTTTTCAAGTAATCAGTTTGTACGATTTTAAAAGCGTTTATCTATCTATTCTATAAGTGTTGTACTTTTTATTACTTTCACTTCAAATAAGACTAAAGTATCGAAAATGTCTTTGTGATGAGGAACAGAAGCTTATCTTTTCTCATTGACATACTACTAAACTTTCAGAAAACATCGAAACTTGTGCATCATTCATATGATTGATAGATATATGTTATTAAAACTCTAGAAACTTACTACTTGAAGAAATAGTTAATCATGCAAAAAAATTAATTCGGAAAGTTCTGTTGTTCTTATATAAAGTAAAACCTCTCTAATGTAGATACTATCGGAGCCGGCCAAAAATGCTCACTTTATAGAGGTATTCATTATTGGAAGGCTTTTAATTTCTTTTTTGCAAGCTACGAGTATTCAGTTGCAATCAATTTTCGGCTGTACGAAGTGATCTTTTCTGTCTTTCCTACAATTGATTAATGCAACTTTTTTAATCAGAAATAAATCACAATGTATTGACATAATTCACGATAGTCAGTTGTTAGCACAAAAACTAGGAGATCTTACACGAAGTATTGTTGCATAAGGAGGCGCTCGTATTAAAGAGACTCATTTCTAGCACACTCTGCTTGGACGAACAATAGACTGTTCGGTATAATGAAGTGTTCATTATTGTGAGATGCTTGCATCAAGAAGGTTCACTGTACCTAAATTGTAAATACTTTAAAATTTGAATAACTCGGTCCAGACTCGCTGTGAGCATCTTATATTTTAAATTTGA